TCTTGCAGGAACTAGAAAAAGCTGTTCTGGATCCTTGGTTCACTGGCAGGTCAACCAGAACTACAGTGGTGCCTCGCATAGTGACGATAACTGGTGCAGCAAAAATCGCTGCAAAGCGATTTCGTCGCTATGCGATATTAAAAAGCCCATAGGAATGCATTGAAACCCCTTCAATGCATTCCTATGGGCTTCAGACTCACCTTGAGGCGAAAATCCTCCATACGGTGTCCATTTTCACTGCCCGGTAAGCGAGGAATCCATCCCAGAAAACAGCGGGCGGCCATTTTTTTTACCCGGTGGCCATTTTGGAACCGCCGATCAGCTGTTAAAAAATCATCGCTTTGCGATGATCAGTAAGCAAAACATAGGGAACATCGCAAAGCAATCACAAAAAGTTAATCGCTATGCGATTTCATCGTTAAATGGGGTGCCCGTTAAACGAGGCACCACTGTATAACCTGTGGACAGAGGCATTAGAAGAGAAGATGATCAAAGGACTGGAAACCAACATTTTAAAAGAAAGACTGTAAGAACTAGGCATGTTTAACCTCGAGAAAAGAAGATTGAGGGAGTATGACAGTACTTTTTAAATATCTGAAATATAGTCATACAGACAAAGGGCAGGATCTGTTCTTGATGGTACCAGAGTGCAGGACTCATAATAAGGGTCTCAAGTTACAGGAAGCCAGAAAATCAGGAAAAACCTGGTAACTGTGACAAGGGAATCAGTCACCTCAGGAGGTGATGAGCACTCCAATGCCGGAGGCAGTCAGGAGAAAATTAGCCAAACATCCGTCAGATATACTTTGATTTGGATTCCTTCAATGAGCAGGGGGTTGGACTTCCTTATAGGCCCCTTCCAAATTAATTATCCTATGATTTTATAAAATATCTGGAATTCCTTTGAGCCTGATGATTGAGCCAGTCATTCTTCCAGCCTGACTGATCTCACAGAGCTGTTGCCAATGTGAAGAGCACCTAAAGTGGGGTGGTGGTGCTCATTTTCTTGCTCATGCCTGGAAGCAAAGAATCTGGTGAGGTTTGAATATTTCTTGCCAAGGTGTCTCACTAAAACAGGTTGAATTGCTAAGGATGGAAAATTTAGTGTATTCTTCACAACCCTCTTCAACCCCATTCATTGCCCATGAAACTTAACCAGCTGCTCACTCCTGGTCTATACATCCAGGGTGATAATCCCCATGCCAACTACTGCTACCCTGGAACTATCATGACCAGCACAGAGGGAAAAACTACTGCTGCACCAGCACCTAGCTACACAAACACCCCTCATTGTTTTTAACTAGAATAAAACAGAAGCTCTGGTTGTAGACATCTTCATGGGATCTCTTTTGCTAGCACCACAGTCTCTCCAGACACAGAAAACCTTCATGTGTTTTTCTTTTCAAAGCAATCATTAACAATCTTTTAGCTGCAGGGGACAGCAGGTTAAAAGAAACAATATGTCAAATTGAAATCAGCTTTTATTTATTTAT